GGGGGAGGGGAGGGGAGAAGGATTGACAGCTGGGCGGGATGACAGGGTGAAACGAGAGCGGAACTCGTTAAGACTGCATATTCGGGGGGAAGTGAGATCACGAACACACACACACACACAAGCCGCCAGCGAATGGGGACGGGAAGCTTTCTAAGAAGGACAAGGAGAAGGCATTGCAGAATGGGCTAGTAGAATGGGGACTAACCAACTCGGACCACCTGTCAAGTCAGAGTAGTAGTAGTGAGGGAGCAGTTGATGAAGAGAGCAGCAGTTTGGTTTGCTTATCTATCCGTGGCATAAGGACTAACGACAAACCCCCCGACCTGTCCGTTCCATCTTATTAGGGATGGACGGGTTAGTCAGTGCTAGTGGTGGGGTCAAGGACAACTAAGAGGCCCCGCTAGTCCGACTCCGAAAGTTTATTTGACCTGACGGATTGCCATGATTGGTTGCTTGTCAGCTCAGGCTCCGGGAAAAGTGTCTCCGCCGGCGCTTATTGGGTGCGGAACGAAGCCCTCTGCCCTTGGAAGGGATCCGCTTCTGGAGGCCAGGTTGGGCCGGTGTGGGCTCGAGGACCTTTGCCCGCAACCAGTCTAGTCCCGGTGGGGTTGGCATGGCGTTCCGTGCGCAACTCCCACGCTGCTGATCTAAGCAGACTAATTCTGCCCCTTTGGGAAGGTCTGTCACAGTCCTGAACAAAAGCACTTTACGCGTCGGTATTCCGCAATAACTATTCCGCCGACGCGTTCGTGTTGCATTCGCGTCCCATTGCAAAAGCTCGAACAAAAAAAGAAGCGAAACCGCAGCAACCAAAACATCAAACGCTGCCTGCCTGCTCTTGGTCAATTATTCTCTCAAACCCCACTACCTCTATAACCACCTTTCCTCTTTCTTCCTTATTTTCTTTTCTTCTTTAAGGCAGGCCCTAGGGACCCGTTCACGTTTAATTCATTAGTCTACGCATATATTGAAGTCGCACCCCTCACCCTTTTTAGCGGCCTCCCTTTGGCCCTCCGCCTGACCACCATGTCTTCCCTTTTTGACGCCGTCCTGCAATCCGAGTTGGGCTCCACGGCGGGCTCTCGCGACCATCGTCTTCACTCCGATCAGATTCCCAGCTCACGACCCCAACCGCCTTCCGAAAGCAATGGCCCCATGAGTGACATGCATGGCTTTGCCGACGACCAAGTCGCCGATTCCAGTGCCTCGACCGTTACCCGACTACGCAATCCTTATCTTCCCGGTCCGCCCCCGGTAAGCGATGTGGCAGGCGAGAAGGTACAGCAGGCTTTCGCAGAGCTCCTCGAGACCTACCAGGAAGAGACACCTTCGTCGGCACAGGCGGCGCCATCGTCACAAGTCTTGAGTGAGAAATACTACATCGCCCAGATCATGGGCATGGCGAAATGGGAGCTGTCCACCCTTTACGTCGATTTCACCCACTTGACCTCTATGAGCAACCCCATTCTTGCCGATGCCATTGCCAACCAATACTACCGATTCCAACCTTTCTTGACCAAGGCTCTTCATGACCTTATCGCCAAGTATGAACCAGAGTACTTCGCCTCTCACCGTCAAGCTACGGCCGCAGGCAGTGTTTCTTCCCAAGCCGGCACTTCGATGATCGCTGGCAACTCTAGTGTATCTGACAACCCTGAATTGGAGCGCAATATCCGCGAGAAGACCAGGCATCAGCAGACGGATAAGCTGTTCTCTTTGGCCTTCTACAACCTGCCCCTTGTTTCCAGACTGCGCCAGCTGCGCACATCCCAGATTGGAAAATTGGTCTCGGTGTCTGGTACGGTCACGCGGACGTCTGAAATTCGCCCAGAACTGTCACTGGGAACCTTCATTTGCGAGGAGTGCAAGGCCGTCGTGACCAACGTGGAACAGACCTTCCGTTACACTGAGCCCTCCCAATGTCCGAACAACACCTGCGGTAACCGCTCCGGCTGGCGCTTGGACATTGGCAAGAGTACCTTCGTGGATTGGCAAAAGGTGAAACTGCAGGAATCTTCTCACGAGATTCCAACCGGCAGTATGCCACGGACAATGGATGTCATCCTTCGCGGTGAGATGGTTGATCGCGCTAAGGCTGGTGAGCGGTGTATCTTCACAGGTACCTTGATCGTGGTACCCGATGTCAGTCAGCTTGGACTTCCTGGCGTGCGGCCGGAGGCAGTTCGTGATGATGGTGCATTCCGGGGAAGTGATATTGGAGGCGGTGGTGTTACTGGGTTGAAGGCGCTCGGTATCAAAGATTTGACCTATCGACTCGCCTTCCTTTCTTGCATGGTTACTCCCGATACCACGACGCCGGGTCAGCAGTCCAACCAGCAGCTGAATGGACAATCGCACAACATCTTGGCTTCGCTCAACCAAAACCGGGATCCTGAATCCAACGAAGACCAGGCCCAAGAAGCTCTGCTTCAGAGCCTGACACCCTACGAGGTTCAAGACTTGAAGAATCTCGTTCACTCTGAGTACATCTACTCGCGGTTGATTGACTCGATCGCTCCCATGATTTACGGTCATCGGCAGATCAAGAAGGGTCTGCTGCTGCAGCTGATTGGCGGTGTCGGCAAGTCCACGGAGCAAGAGAGCCTCCAGCTTCGTGGTGACATCAACATTTGCATTGTCGGTGATCCATCCACGAGTAAGAGTCAATTCTTGAAGTGAGTTTCATACCGGCTATTGCATACAGCTTTGCATGCCATGCTTACACGAAACAGATATATTTGCTCGTTGCACCCTCGTGCAGTCTACACTAGTGGTAAAGCCTCGTCTGCCGCCGGTTTGACCGCATCTGTTGTCAAGGACGCTGAGACAGGCGAGTTCACGATTGAAGCTGGTGCCTTGATGTTGGCTGTAGGTAACCTGATCCATCTGGTTGGCATTCGAAACTGACGTATCGTGATCTAGAATGGAGGTGGTATTTGCTGTATCGACGAGTTCGATAAGATGGACATCAGCGACCAGGTCGCCATTCACGAAGCCATGGAACAACAAACAATTTCCATTGCAAAGGCAGGAATCCACACCACCCTTAATGCTCGGGCTTCGATTCTTGCTGCCGCCAACCCCATCGGCGGCCGATACAACCCCAAGACTACGCTACGCGGCAACCTTAACTTCAGTGCTCCCATTATGAGTCGATTTGATCTGTTCTTCGTGATCCGTGATGATCCCAATGAAACAGTGGATCGCAATTTGGCTGATCACATTGTCAATGTCCACATGAACCGCGACGAAGCTGTTCATCCCGAGCTCAGCACTGAGCAATTACTACGCTACATTCGATTCGCCCGTACCTTTAAGCCTGTTTTCACGGAGGAGGCCAAGGCTTACCTGGTCGAAAAGTATAAGGAGCTTCGTGCTGGCGATGCTCAAGGTGGCATGGGCCGCTCTTCATACCGCATCACAGTTCGACAGCTGGAATCTCTGATCCGTCTTTCTGAAGCCGTCGCCAAGGCCAACTGTGTGGAAGAGATTATACCCAAGTTTGTGCGCGAGGCGTACGACCTTCTCCGACAGAGCATTGTGACAGTCGAGAAAGATGATGTCGAAGTCGACGATGATGAAACCGCAGCAGCGGAGGGTCGTGCTGCTGAGGAGGATCATGAGATGGGCGATCGTGACCGTGATGGAGACAGCCCTATGCGCGAAGATGCCGAAACTGCCCAGCCCAAACGCTCAAGGACGAAGATCACATATGACAAGTACATGAAGATCCTGAACCTCATGGTCCGTCGTGTAAGGGACGATGAAGCGAACTCTGGTGAGGGTGTCGAGCAAGAGGATCTTCTCATCTGGTATCTGGAGCAGATTGAGTCCGAGATTGACACAGAGGACGATCTCCAAAATGAGCGTGACTTGGCTGTGAAGGTCCTGAAGCGAATGATCAAGGTATGTGCAATCATATCGCTGTCACTTTTACTTGAACCCATTGCTAATCTCAATTACTCCCTGTAGGATAACATTCTGATGCCCATTCGCGGGCAAGGCCTTGTGGATGCCGATGATGAAGGGCAAAGTGAGCAAGTTCAATGCACTGTCTACGTGATGCATCCCAACTGCGCCATTGATGAGATGTAATGTCTGTTTAGTGTTTGGGTTTAGAAAAGGAAACGCTGAGCAATGATTGAAATGGGTCTGATAAAGGAGCTGGTGGTTATGAGTGATGATATCCCTGTTTGACTTTGATTTGATATTGACCTTACGCATGATTTATCGGTGAAGTATATGTCTATAGAAGTGAGGTCTGGAGTGCATTGGTTTTAGGCATATCTTCTAATCTCATATACGTATGACGCTTCATGATCTGTCAGACTTTTCCGTCTTTTTTGACTGTATGCGAGCTTGCATGTAGCATCCCGAAACAACTCTTCACCCGGTTTGACTTAGTATGGCTGTTGTATGAGCAGTCTCACAACCTTCTACCTTACTGCTTTGACCCTCGTCACCTTCCTTCCATTCTCGGCCACGTGAACCTGAGCTGGTGTTCCTCGCTTTGCTATCTCTTCGCTCTCTCTTCCTGATTACTCTTGTTTATCTACGCGATCGTATGGCAAAGACTGCGATCTTTCTATCCATCTCTCATCTCTGAGGTGTCCCCGAGCTCATACTTCCTTCCTCTCATCTCTCTCGGCTGTGTCATCTTCCTCATCTTCTGTTCACCTTCCTCTCGTCTCTGATCTTCTTTCCTTTCGCCTCATTTGCCTCTCTCTTGCTTCTTCCGCCTTTGTATAAGGTCCCTCTTCCCTGCCCTGTTCTTCTTCCCTCTTCCGCATTCCTTCTTCTCTCTCTATATAAACCCTCTTCTCTCCCCCTGCCCTCCCTCTTCCCTTCTCACTCCTCTCTTCTTCTCTCTCCTCTAGCCAGAGCTCTCGTAGATCCTTGTTCGACCCCCTCTCTCTTACTATCATCCTTTTTCTATAACCTCCACAACCAGCTTTCTCAAAACGGAAATCCTCCGTACGCCATCGGCGAATCGAGCAAAGATGGAAGGCTCTAGCGAGGAACTGGAACCACCTAAGATCACGCAGGAAGCAGCAGCAGGCTCTGAAGATGTTCAAGAGCTCGATAAGCAAGGATCTTCTCTCCAATCCGAAAGCTTCGATCCGCAACAGATTCTGTTGGAGGCAATTGATCGCCGTAGGCAACAGTACAATCCCAGGCAGGCTTTTTTCCTTTCTAATTTGGGATTTGATATCCACAATCGTAAGGCCTCCCAAAGTTTGCAGTCACCTTCGCGGATGATACTGACTTCTTTCTAGCAGTCCGGCATACAGGAAACTCGCCATCTGAATTTCTTCCTGTACCAAACGATCAGGTAACCGCTGCGCAAACAGGATTTGAGGAAAGTCTATTTGTGCCGCAGGAAGAATATTCGTCATTGTATCTTCCACCTTCGGGACCAGATGTGCCTCCGATGTCTCCAGATAATCAAAATTTTCTCGAACTATTTCAGGGGCTCAATCCAGAAGGTGACACAAGTCCACCTGTTCAACAGCTTTCGCAGGTTGCACCTCACTCGAGTGCCAGTGCTTCACAAACAGGAAATGCAGGCACAGCAGCTGCACCTGCCGATGATGAGGAAGATCCAAGGCTGTCCGCACCGTCATGTGTCGACTTATTATCAACCTCATCTTCGACTTCCGGGAACACTGACGTTCCGGTAGAAGACTTCCCGGATGATACTGGAGACCAAAGCTGCCCAACAGAATGGCCTGACGAGGAGCTTGAAGCTAGTACCAGGGCTGACCTATCGAAGCGGCAGTAAGTGTATCTTATCATTATGTCCCAGTGTGAGTCTAACTGCTTTCCCTAGATTCAATTCTATCAAGAAATGGTTTGATGGTTTGGAGAAGCCATCTGTTGCAGATGAGATACGCTTAGAAAAAGCAAGGCAACAGGAATTTTCTCGAAAGGAAAGGGTGGCAAGGAGAAAAGCCATCGAAAACCAGAGTGACCTCTTTCTCTCAGACATCGACGAGCCCAATGAATCCACTTCACGACAGGTTCCTGTCGAGAAAAGGACTGAAAGCTCTCATGATGTCCCTGTCAAGCGACAGCCGAAACAGCGACGACAAAACAGGATTTCAGCAGACGAAAAGCGAAAGAGCAAGGAACTCGGTCTTGCTGTTGTTCTTGCGCGCCAGAAGAAGAGGGAGATGTCGAAGAGAGCACCCCGTAAGCGCAAAGATAGAGGGTTCGACAACGGAATCCCTGGCCCCAGTAAAAGGCCGAAGCGAGGGCCCCTGGGTACCAAAAAATACCTAGAATACCTCCTTTCTTCTGGAGTCGTGGAAGATGCACATGTCAACGCTTCACTGGATGCGATACCTGCTTCTATTGACAAGAATAAGATGAAAGCACTCAAACGACTTGTCGCTACTATTCCGAGTGTGGATCAGAAGGAGGCTAAATCTGACAAGAAAAAAATTCTTGAAGCTACTCGCAAGTTCACATGCAGTCCGAGAAGCGATGGAAAACTCGGGTGGAACATCAAGGGAATGAAAACAAGTTTATATCACTATCAGGTTCGTGTGTATATGCCCATTATTACTATTATACTAGCTGACAGGTATGAAAAGCTACTTGGGGCTGCTTTTATGGTAAGGAGAATATACATCGAGATCTTGGAATGACTTGCGGCTAAGATTAGAACAGCGTGACCGCGAAAGTTCGTCAGAGGGACCCTTCGGGGGACTCCTCTGTGATATCATGGGTTTCGGGAAAACTATTCAAGCACTGGGTGAGTGCATGTGGAAAGAAAAAGTGGCACAGCTAATCTGGGTCTAGCAAATATCGTAGATGGAAAACCCTTTGATCCGGAGGATCCTGAGAAGACTACGCTCATTGTTGTTCCATCGCACCTAGTCACTCACTGGTAATTTTGGTCAATGCTATGTACCCAACTTGCAGTCTGACTTGAACAGGAAAACACAGATCAACAGGCACTGCGACGAGAAAGCAATTGGTGATGTCCTTATATACAAAGCTAGTTCAAGGCTTGAGTCCCTCAATACAGTAGGAAGCCTCGCGAAATATGATGTTATGTACGGATACTATGCAGCTCTTTCAATATCAAGGTGGTATACTGACGCAGTCATCAGAATCACTACGTATGATGAGGTCAGGCGGTCTTATCCACCAATGAAGCTCACCGATAGTATTAAGGACGACGAGAAGCTTTCAGCCTGGTGGGATCAATCCTTCGATACAGAGACCGGCCCGCTACATAAAATCAAGTTCCACCGAATCATTCTTGATGGTATGCTGTCTCCCTCCCGCTCACTCTTACCTTTTGGCATCAATCGCGAGTCTAGGTTTGACGACCAATTTGCAGAAGGCCACACCATCAAGAATCACATCTCCTCAGTGTCGATCGCCGTCCGCTCTCTGACTGGCCACTATAAGTGGATTCTAAGCGGAACCCCAGTGCACAAGTAAGCTCGCACCTGATGCCCAGCTGCTGACTGGCGTTTAATATTTTGTGGTTTCTGACATAGTATTCATAGCCATCTAGAAGAATTCTATCCGCTTTTCGACTTTCTCGGCGTTCCCGGCATCAAAGATGCTGGAGTTTTCACAAAGAACTTTTGCAGCGTGCGTGACTTTCCATTGATCTTCAGAGTCGAATTCTAAAGCTAATCCTTCTGTAGGATGACGAAGGCCATGACCGCCTCGTAAACCTATTGCGAGCTTTTTTGTTTCGGCGAACACACAAAAGTCGACTTTTCTCACTGCCAGTAATTAAACTACCCGATGTCAACGAAAGAATCGTCAGGGTCCAATTCTGCGCCGTCGAACGAGAGCTTTACAACGCCATATCAGAGGTATTCATAGAAAACATCAATGGTACGCCAGAGAAATATTTTGCTATATCAAGAGTTTCAGGAGAAAATCGCTGACATTAAATCAGGTTGTGCCCATTTCGATCAGCCCAAGTTAGCACAGTATCGATGCTTTCTATCAATGATTTTGATGCTTCGTATGTTCTGCAGTCATTTGCTTACAACGCAGTGCATAGTTAAGAGGCTACTCTCAGAAGGGAACTTAATGAAAAGACTTTCCAAAATCGCCAAGGGAAGCGGGGAATCAAATCCGTCATATACTATAGTCCAATGGCTCTCAACAGTGAGAAAAAACACGACAGTTCTTAATGAGCGTAATGGTGGAGACACAGGCCAGTATGCCACAGAGCTTCATGGGGATGAGACAGCATTGACGAAAAATTTCCGCCAACTAATGGACGAGCTTCATTTGAGAGAAATTTGGGAAGAAAGACTAGAAAGGACAAATTGCCCCGTCTGCAAATCTGCACCAGTGAACCCCCTGATAACTTCATGCAGGCATTTATATTGTGAGGAGTGCTACTACTCCTTACGGATGGACAAGGACAACATGCTTATGGAGCCTAAATGCGTCAACTGCCGTGTTTCGATCACGGAAGCCGCTTATTTTAAGGAAGAGGGTAACGAAAAGACACAAGGCGCATCTATTCACGGGGCAACTATCAGGAAGGAAAAGCAGCGCCAAAAGAGAACCACAACCAAGAAACAATCTAGGAGCAGCATTCGCCAGATCACGGCGCCACGAGCAGACGAAACGGATGAAGAGCCGGACGCCGACGAGGATACGGACTGGATTAGAGCGTGTGCCCAGCATATGCCGAGTGCGAAACTCACGAAGATACGCGAAATTCTTACAGAGTGGCTTGCTCAGGAATCCTCGGGCAAGATAGTCATCTTTACCCAGTTTCTAGATTTCGTTGAAATCCTGTCTACCATGTGCGAAGCAGAAGGGTGGCTGTTTGTCCTCGTGAGCAAATAATATTCAAATATACTCAAGACCCAGGGTGGCTAACTTTCCACAGTTGACTGGAAAATTGGGTCTATCAGTCCGCGAAAACAACATGAAGACGTTTAGTGATAAGAATAGCGAAGTGAGGATTCTTATTGCCAGTTTGAAGGCTGGAGGCATCGGACTAGACCTATCAGCCGCCAACAAATGCATTCTTGTTGACTTGTGGTGGAACGAAGCTATTCAGGAGCAGGTATTTATACTTCTGTCCAGTCATATTGCCTAATAGGATTTTGGTGCAGCTGTTAACGCTCTGGAGTTTAGGCATTTTGCCGCTTGTTTCGAATTGGGCAAGAAAGCGAGGTGGAATTTGTGAAGCTTATCATCGATAATTCCATTGATGACTACCTGCTCAATTTGCAGACGCATAAGACGGCTGTTATAACCGGAGCTATGGGCGACGGAGTCCTAGCGGGACGGGATACAATTGAGGATCTCCTTCGAATGTTCGCAGATGTCGAAAAGGACTCTAGAGGGGTACTTCATCTCAGGGCCAAGACAGCGTCGAGGGATATCAGGATTGGGGCTGGATTCCGACCATCTTTTGGCGTCTTTTGAACGGAAATCTATTATGATAAGCAACGACTATATGTTACAGATTTGATGACAGTTCTTTCCGTTTTGCATGCTGCTTTTATGATGGGGTTGCTTGATTCAAGCCCAGCAAATATGACCGAGAGGAGGCCGGCGTACTCGGAGGTTCTGGTTGTTTCGCTTTTCATTTGACATCAGTCTCGTTTTGCGATTTTTGCAATGGTTTCATTGATATTGATATTTATGAGCGTGGCCAGGATAGCACATTTCCTTTTTAGTTGCTCTAGTTTCAAGAGGAAATACATTACTATTTGAGGTTTTCACTCTTCCCGATCAAGATACTATACACTCACAGTTCAGTGAAATACCGACGCAGGCAAATTCAGATCCCCGATTAACCCAGCACACAACAAACGCAGTAGTCACCTTACTTCAACCCTCAACCAATGCATACACCTACAACCTTCTCGGCCCACGCCTTCCACGCCCAGCAACACCACCAGCACCATCACCCTGCACCCTCTCTCCAAGCATCCTCGGCACCAGCACATTACTACTATTCAAGGCCACCGACCCCCTATCCTGAGAGCCCAAAACCCGCGACTGCCATCTCAAACGATGATACCTTCTCCTCCTCCGATTCGCATAATCATGCACCCCCAGTCCCAAATCATCAGGATCCACCTCCGTATCAGCATACTCTGACTCCGACTCGACTCTCCAAGTAGGAACCCCGGAACCCCATCTTCCACTTTCACCTCCACCTCCACCAGCAGCAGCAGCAGGACTACCTTCATCATAATCGAGTCTCATCTCATCCTCATCAGCATCAGCATCATAATGATCATGAAATGAACGATCAACAACCTGCGAAAAATTCTCAGCCTCAGTCTCAGTGATCATTCCCACCGGATCGTGGAGGGTCCCAGCAACAATATTACTATTGATGTTCTCTTTATCTGAGTCCCAGTCTTGGTGATAGGCACGTACTTCTTGGTTATCATTATGATGATGGTTGTTGTTATTGTTGGTGTAGGGATAATGAAGGTACCCGGGTAGCAGTGAAGCTACTCGGTTTGGGCGTGGAGAGAAGGATAGTAGACCCCCTCTGTCTGGGATGATGTCTTCGAAGATGGTGAAGTCGAGATTGCTGCTGTTGATGGTGGGGTTGTTGTTGCTAGGTCTGGTTCTGGGGGTGGGGATGGGGTAAGAAATGGGAATGGGTGTGAAGTTGTTGTTGCTGTCGAGGCCGATGAGGCTGCTGGTAAGGCAGCCGCTTTGGGTTGGGATGGTTGGTTGTGTTGTCTCTTGGACTGTGGGTGTCTGGTGGTGATGAGAGGGGTGGTGAGAATGTGATGTTATTCATACCTTACCAGAAACAGGGGACGAGATATTCGGAACTTACTACCATTTGTCCTTCTTCACCTTCTCCATTCCCGTTATGATCCTCAAGTTGAGGGTTATGATAATCGTCACCATCGACATCCATGTCCATGTCTTCATCAACAGCAGCAGCAACAGATGGATTCTGTGTGGAGATATACTGCTGTTGCTGCTGATAAGTCGAGCTCACGTCCATGGCATCCCTAAACGCTCTATCATGCGCCTCGTTCTCCAAGGCTCGCACCGCAAGCATCCGGTACTCGTTAATGCGGAGGGCATCTTCCTGGTCTTCAATTTCTCTGTTCAAGGCCTCTTCAAACCGCTCAGCTTGTCTGGTGAATGGGGAGGGGAGACGAGGGCGTTTGAAGGGTTGGTGGCTGTTTTCTTCATTGTTGGTTGCGTTGGGGGTGAGGTTGTTGAGAGAGCCTGTGGAGGTATGGTTGTTGGAGGAGTCGTTGTCGTTATCATCACAGGCTGCTCTTCTTTTACGAGTGGTGGTATTGTTCATGACGGTTGTGGTCTGGATAGGTTGGGGATATGGACGGTAATCAGATGATTTTCAGTGATGGAGAATGAGAAATGGTGGGTTGTTGGATCTGGATTGGTAAGGAGCTGTACTTACACTCGTATCTTGGTTCATGTTGTCGTCGATGGTTTTAGTCATCGTAAGTTTATGAGGATAAGTTTGGATTGGCTGTGTGAGATGGAAGGTTAGCGAAGGCTGGTTGTCTTGTAGGACAAGCTGTCAGAGTGGTGCTTGAGATATGAGGATAGTAGAATGGGTTATTCACGCGTTGGGGCATGCCATCATCGTAGTTATCATCAATTGGGTATAGAAGACTGCTCCTCATAGAAGAATACTCACCTGGGGTCTGAGATGATTTATCTTGATGCAGATGAGTTGAAGTAGAAGCTCGGCGGTCAGAGTCAGAGTAGCCGAATCCTCAAGCAGATGTGAAGGGATAATAAAGTAGGAAGAAGAAGTAGGAAAGGGAAGCGAGATGGCTTAAAGCAATCGTGGGCAGCGCGGAGTCCACCGGTCATTCACTACAGCTACTTCGCCTCAGGCACCTGTGCCAAATATAGCCTACACACATCTACAGGTTAAGCACGGTTCAAGCAATAGGTTTCATTGAAGCCATCATGTCAGCTAGTGATTCAGGTCTGCAATATAATGGCTTTAGATCACATCTCAGAGATCTGCAATCTGCCTATTGCTTTCCTTTATGTAATCCCCCAGGGTTGTTATACATCCAGACACAAACGAGTCCGGCTGTGATACAGTCTCCTCATCAGTCCCAAGCCTCAGCAGGTGGCTAGGTCTCTCCTGAACTCCATCAAACTAGCCCTTTGTCATGCACCAAATACACACACATAGATAAATCAGATACAAGAAGATTAGAAGGGTGCATTGTTCTGGCGTAACAAAGACATAAGTATGAGAAGATCAAGGACATATCTCATATGGCGTTTGCACATTCTCCTTGAATTCGTCTCCCTAGGACACTGTACGAACCACCCCGGACTTCGCGCAACCCCTACCGGAACTGTCCAGGCCCGAGCATGCCGCGCGGGGCCTCGCCGCCAACTTGGCCGAACATATCCAACAGGTGCCTGGAAGCGGGGGGAGGCACTTGAGGTCCAGGGTTGCCCTCAAAAGGACCTTGGCCACGGTGGGGAAGCCCCATGAGAGCATCACCGTTGGGCGGCATGGGTGGGAAACCGGCTGGCGGGGGTCCGTTCATGTATCCGGGAGGAGGCATCATGCCTGGAGGGGGAGGACGCGGGAATGGTTCACGCTCGTTGAGGGGTGGTGCATTCGCATGCATGGGCATCATGTTCGACATGTAACTTGGGTTAACGCCGCGTGTAGGTGTCGGAATACCCGGAGGAGGTGCCAAAGGCGCGGGTCCAGCAGCTTGCTGCGGGGGCATCTGAGGTCCTGGCCATCCAGGAGGAGGCAAATGCTCGAAGCCTGGAGGTCTCTGCATGCCCATGGCAGGATGGCCTTGAGCCTGGGGAGCTCTGCTTCCGCCGGGCGTCATAGGAAGTTGTCCGCCCTGGGGGAACGGCATATCTTCGAAATATCCCATGGGGGGCCCATTTGCGGGCCGACGACGAAGATGCTCAGCATCGGGTCTCTGCATGTTTGCTATCGCAGGGTCATCCAAGAAGTTGGGGCCCTTTTGCGGGGTCGGGATGCCTGGAGGGGGAGAAAGCACTTCCGGCATGCTCAACAAACCGGGGGCCGGGCCGACAGGACCAGCACTTTGGGGCTGGCTCTGGGCACCCTGGTTGGCAACGGGACTAACACGGACCTGCTGCATCAGTCGCAGTAGATGTTCCCGGTCTCGAGCATGTGTCTCCTGGACATAAGGGTTAGGACCAGGGCCACGAGCAACTGTCTCTTGCATGGCGAAGTACTCCTGCCGCTTGAGTTGATCTCGAGCAGGAGATGAAACAGCACTCCGGATCTGTTCGGCCTGTACCTGCGAGGGAGGCCGGTTGTACGCAACAGGGTCATTGTGAGGTGTCGCGTTGCGCGATTTTCCTCCACCAAGCATCTGCAGGATGCGCTGGAAACCTTCCTGATCGGCATCAGTGTTGACGGTGTTCATCGAAGGCGACGACCTGGTCTCTGGATGAGTTTCGGGTTCCTTGGCCGGACTTCCCGGTGGTGGCGAGAATAGTCCAGCAAAGCGCGACGACTTTCCAAGCTTTCCAGGGAGTGGCTCTTTCTTCATTGTTGGTTCCATCATGGGAGGAGGAGGAGGAGGAGCGCTTATCTCCTGGGGTAGTGGAGGCGCCTGGGGTGGCTTGGAGTCCCCAAGCAATCCAAAGAACCGCTCCATGGCCGAATCGGACGTGAACGGAGCGCCATTGCTGCTGAAAATCTCGCCATCTGTAGGCCTAGGCTCTGGCTTCGGCGCGGGAGCAGGAGCAGGAGTCGTCTCCAAGGGGACCTCCTTTTCTTCGGCTTGAACCTGCGAGGAGCCCGCCTTCATCCTTTCCTTCCAGCGTTCAAAGTCTTCTTGTGTATGCACTCGGCGAGGCTCATCTCGATCAGTCGAATCCATCCACTCGGGATCCTGTTCGAACTTGGCTCCCCGCGTCCAGTCACGATCTGCACCGTGCCGATCTCGACGCCATTCCCTGTTTCGTATCGGAGTCTTCTCCCCCTCCGCATCAGGCGCGTCGTGAGTGTTCTCCTCACGAAACCAACTTCCCTCGTGTCTCGCACGTCCGGGCGTGCCATCCTTCCGTGGGAAGAATCGTGCATCCTTATCTTTAACTCCACGGTCATTGTTGGGTTCTCGCTGGTCGCGGTTCTCCCACCGATCGAACTCTCCGTTGCGTCTCGGCTTTCGATCCTGTTCCTCGGGGCCGAAGGTACGGCGGGGGCGTCCACTGTTCCAGTCCTCCCTGTCCCCACGCCGGTTGTTGTTGTTGAATGTTCCTAATTTTCCATCTCGTCGGTCAAAATCTCTGTCACCAGACTCCCGGTCCTTGAAGAACTTCTCCCGTAAGTTGAACCGGTCGTTCTTCGAGTCATCCTGGTCATTAGGCCTTGACGATCGTTCCGTAGCATCTATCGATCCTTTACCGGGTATACGAGATGCCGAAGCAAAAGCAGTTTTCGGGGGTCCGAGAATGATGTCCTCTATGGGCGATCAACGACGTCATGCATCAGTAAGGTCCTCGAATTTTCAATCCAAGAAAAGAGAACAATGGACATGGGGTATTCGACATCGGGAGAGAAGAAGAAGTGGGATGGTTATTACCTGAATTGGAATTCCGGGACACATGACGAGTTTCAAACAGACTGGGCCTTCTGGGGGTCGATTCATGGGGGTTATTGGGGTCTCGCGTGTTTGTAGCTTTCCGTTGGGTAGCTGGATCGGGGATTGGGCTAGCACGTAGGATGACTGCGTCAGTTTCGGGGATATCGCAATTGATTGATAAGGTAAAGGAGCAGGCAGAGTGAACTTACCCCATCCATTCTTCTACCGGTGGTAAATTGGTAGGCTTTGTAACCAGAGGCGACGACCGCAGCCATAGCAGCTCATCGATCTGGTACCGTCGCGCCATGAGGATGGCTTGGGTGAGGTGGGTGTGTGTGATGCTATCGGTATGCCGTTACGTCGATCTCATTGGTTGCCGACAGTTCAAGGAAGAGAAAAGGTGGAGTGGAATTTATCGCGGGACAAGGAAAGGAAGAAAAGGCGAGTAAGGTAGACTGCGAGGCACCGAGGCTAGGCTGTGGGCGTGAAAGGCGTGTACTGTGTAGTGTGTAGAGGATAGATGATGAGTGGGCAGCAGGAAGCGAAGCCGCTTGCCAGTGGCAAGGGAAAAGGCGGAGGAGAGGAGCTTCGATCGGTCAAAGGTCCAGGAGCGCTCGTTGGGAAGCAGATGAGGGGCACCAGCGGTGCAACAAACCGTGTGGCCGGATTTGTTTGTGTAGAGGGATCCCAACTGGTCTCGGATAGATCGATAGACAGTAGAGTAAATGGAAGGAGGACAAAAGCTGGTGGGGAACAAACAGAAAGGGGGCAGCAGCAGAAGAGGTGGTGAAGGGGAAGGGGAGTTTGGGCAAAGTTGCGGGCAAAGATGTCGAGGACCGCCGGACCGCAACGAAGTTCAAAACGTGTGCACTGCCCAATGGGGAAGGTCGCCTGTCAGCTTGTCGACGCCTTGTTCTTCACTTCTTCATTTCTCCCCAATTTATCTCTCCATATGTCGGGATTTTCCTTCTTACTGCTACAAATTAATCGCCGTCGCACACATGGGATTTAGTGACTATTTACTATTATTATACTAATTATCCTTCCCCTACCCATCATTCACTACGGTTTCCATCATCCCATGTTCCCCAAGCAACTCAACCCTCGGTACCGCCAGCAACCAACCCCAACGCAGAGCAGAATCCTGATGGAGTAAGGCATCGCTTAGGATACGTCATATAGTACATTCCATCTCCCAAAATAACCTGTCTTTCAATGGCGCAAAGATGAGGCCAGTGTGTACTTGGCTACAGTGCAAGATCAGATTAACCTATCAGATTTCATAACTATTCCATCCACAACTGACTAAACAGACCATTCCGGATTGCTCTAATAACTATACGCCTGATTCAAATGTCAATTACTATGCAGCCAAGTGCCTAGATTGAGGGCAGCATCGTTCATATCCAATCTCCTACGACCGGACACTAGCCCACAATGCTCTCTACCGCTCGCAAAGCGGCTCCTCCACTCCATTTCGAAACCCGATCATTATCCGAGGTTTGCTTCAAGGAGTCGGCAATCGCCGCAAGAGTCGACGTCTCTTTGCCCTTGACAGCCGGAATCTGACTCTGAATCCAGCTGAGAATACCCGCTCTCGTGACAAGTGTTGTGCTTCCTTGCACTTGCGTCGCGCGGTACACTAATTGCAAGACCTTTCTCTTGGCTGAGTAGCCTGCCGAAGGCGACTCGTAGAATGCAAGCGCTCTCTCGAAGACCTTCGCACGGCGGTAGATGTCCATATCCTATAAATCGAATGAGTAACATGACGGTGTAAGAAAGGGAAGACGGTGACATACAGCTTCAGTGCGAAGACCCTTGATGAGTAAATCAAGGAGCCAGCTAGTCTCGTCGAAATAACCGTCGTCAAGCTCCGGTTCATGCAGGAAGATTTTGTCAATCCAGTAGGATGGGATCTTCTCCACCTCCCAGGAAGGAGCTTTCTGCAGGAACTTGTTGACCTTGCCGTACATTTTGTGCATCGGGTCCGTGAGAACACTCAAGCAACTGGACGCGCACTCCCCTACAATCCACGGTACGGGCGATTCAAGCCCAGTCTGCTTAACAGTCTCGAGGAGCTCTCCCGTGAGGATGTAGACTGATCGCCATTCCACATATTTAGACTCCTGCCAGTATGTTAGCTTATATTTCTACTCTGTTTTCCGCAGAAGGTACCGGCTCAACGGTTGACCTACCTTAAGTTTGCCCATGAAACGAACAATGCTTGTGAATGCTTGCTTTCTCACTTCCTCGTATGCCGAGCACAAGCAGAGAACCAGTTCGGCAATCCGGCCTTGCTCAACTGCCACCTCAATGTCATCCTTCTCCCATCGGTGCAACTCATTGTGGGTGGTACTTTCTGTCGGTAAGGTTCCGAATACCTCTTCCAAGTCTACCTCATCCTTGTTGGCGGTAGTTGTAGTATCTTGGGCAGGAGCATCAACTTCCATCGCATGGTCATCTTCAGCATCTTCGGTGTCTTTCAATGCTTTTTTGAGGGCTGACTTTGACTTCTTATTCTCAGCACTCTCCATCAGCTTGTCCCGGGCGATTTTCAGTGCCTTGGCGTTTTCTCCAGCGCGCTTCAGGCTTCCTAGCGTTTCAGCAATCCAGGCAACCACCGCACTCTCGACAGCCGCGTCTCCAGATTTGACAACAAATGGCCACTGTTCGATGACGGCAGCTACCAGAGGGCTAACCGGGCTGGAGACACCCTCGACCAAGGAGTCGACGAGGTCTTGATAGTGAACCGGTTTCTTTGCGATACGGCAGGCGCAGTTATCGAAGAACGATAGTTGGCGCTGGAGTTTCTCCGAGTCTGAAGTCTCGAAGCTTGACAGAATTGCGGGAAAAGAGGAGGGGTTCTGCAGGACAGAGTGCTCTGTGAGGACGGTCCGCAGCAGCTGGTCAATCTCACGCAGAGAGTATCTTGATGCTGTTTGAACCAGCACCTTTAGGATTGACGTAAAAGCGGAATACTGCATAGACCCCGGTTGTTGCCACCAACGCATGGAAGTAGACTGTTTGATGATTCTCATGATGTTTTGCAGTTGGCTCAGCACTGACTCGGTATCATCCTCGTCGAGCTTGCCTTCATCCAATCGCTTCAAGACGTCAACCAAAATGAGTGAAACGTCAAGTCCTTCCTCGAAGGCGGCATCCGGTACTACCTCGTAGAACGAAGCGAGAAGCTCTGAGACAGCATCCTGCTGCTGCAAGTCATCCTTATCCGTTCGCTTGAAGAGCAGAATGACTTCCTTCACTCCGGGGCACCGGCGACTGAACTCAGCAACCAGCTTGCTTGCCGCCTGTGTCCACAGGGGTTGGCTGACCCCATGGTCGGCGTTGAAGATCTTGAGAACAGCCCGCAGCTTGTTGAAGGCAATTGTCAGAATTCGGACAGCAAACAATGTCACTATCTCAGCATTCATGTTCAAGCAGCGGGTAAGTATTTTCTGGGTCAGAGGGCGAGGAAGCACATTTTCGATGACCACGGAAACGGGCGGCGGTGTCGGAGGTAACTTGTCTTTCCAGCCACAATTCGAGGGCACAGGCAGCTGTACGGAGGAGAAGAGAAGCGCAGACTCAGCCATCCATGACGGGGTCGGCTTTGGGTCCGCAGTAAACATGCTCTTCTTCGTGAAGAAATCTGCAACTAGCTCCGGGGCCGCCTTGAAGATGGCCACTAACAGCTCAATCTGGAGACTGTCGGTATCCGGGCGAAGTGTCTGGATCAGATATGACAGTGTTCCGTTGCGAACAGGTACAGACTGGCTGTACTTGTCGATATGAAGAGCAGAGTCAAGACCCAAGTCGATCAGTGTGTCATCGTCCGTGGGTAGCGCCTCGGGATCACTTCCATGTGGATACCAACCAGACTCTGGAAGCAAGACTCCAAGTTCGGTGTTCGTACAGACATTCATCAGGATCTTGTGGATTTCGTCTGTAGTGGAAACATTCGCCGGGTTGGGCTCCTCTGACTCACGATCATAACCGTAGAGGGTGACGAGTCGCTCCAGGTTCCATCGGTTGAAGAACTTGCTCTTTGCGATGCGAGAAATCGAAGCATCTTGGATAATGTCTTTGTCAATACACCTGATAGTCTCCAAGATAATATCTCTCGGGTCTTTCCTAATGTACTCAAAGAATGCTCTGATAACTTTGTGTTGCTCAATAATATCACTCTTCCCGTTTGATTGCAAGAATCGCAGGTTTGCAAGAACATACTTCTGAGCATTCCTGCGTAGTGTAGGCTTGGAGCCTGCCTCTGATATTTCTTCCAGCTGAGCTTTGTTGGGGGTGAGAAAGACTTCGATGCGCTTGAATGTGATATACCGCGCGGCATGGACGTGGCGCGCCACAGCTCCACCATCGAAGCTGACCATCTCCGTGAGAAGACGAAGACAGGGAGAAATCAAATGCTCCTTTGATTTGATAGCGGTCAAGCCACGGTTGAACAGTCTCAGCTGTTCTTTCTGAAGGAGATACTTGCATAGTGCCACTCCGAAATCCCGAAATTCCAGGTTGGTGGACACTGTCTTGAGGAACTGGGCGAGGACAGATGGCACAACAGTCAGTAACGACTCATTGTTGTTGGTATCCGCAAAGCTCCAGGTCTGGACCAGATCGGTAAAGCAGACTGCTTCGTTCTCGTTTACGCGTGAGAATTGCGAATCACAGTATGCTTTGAGGATGCGGAACTTTTTGGCTTTTTCAGCCTCATCCTCACTCTGCCCAATGGACGTGAGAAAGTCCTTGAACTTTCTTATACCTGGTTTGATGAGTATTGGAACATCATGGGGGACTTGGCTCAGGATGTTACTTACCTTGCTTGGATTCAGTGGGATTCTGTTGGAAAGCCAAGGAAGAGCGAAGCTGCGTGTGCGAAGAGATGGTGGCAGTAGCATCGACATCTTGGCCATTGTCCAACTTTCTCCTCTTGTTACGGAGCTGACCCTCGTGGGAAGACATTTTGAGCTAATGCAGATGTTGTGTTATGCAATAGACCGGGGACTGGACCTCGACGAGGATTAGTAGTAGGCCGGCAGGAACTTCGCCCGATTCAGACCTTCAGAGTTTTGCGACTGCTGAATTGGTCTTTTATTAGTGCCACTACGGCGAACTTAGGAGGACAAGATCGTCCAGCTAGCACGCGTGTTCCTGGGAAATATGTAAATATATATTATAGAGGAAGATAATCGTAAGTGGATGAAAATATTGCGATAAGAGGCTCGCCGGTAGACTTCTGGAAAGTCCTGCGCAGATGAATTGATCCACTGCCGTGAATGTATTCTGGCCTCCCATTGG